ACGACTTCGTTCTGAATGGAGATCTTGGAGAACGACGTGTCGATGCTGGGTCTGTCCGGGGGGATCACAGCATCCTTGTACCACGCACCGCACGCGTATTGGTAAAAGTCTTCGCAGGGGTTGGCGGAGTAGTCGATGAGCTTGGTCACAGACTCGGGGAGTTCCGTCACGGAGCCGGCCGTGGCAGCAGCAGCCAATGCGCTTAGGGAGACGAGGACTTTGACCATCGAAGAGCAAAAAGGAAAATGGAGTTTGCCGATGTCAACCATTGAAGTTTATACAACATTACCCCACAAATCATTGGACTTACCATGTGATGTTCCCATATGGCAATTGTTGACCTTGGTATATAAGTAAGTTACTGTATGCCAGCTACCCCTCGTGCATGTACATTAGCGATCGAAACAGGCATGTAACCAGCCGGCCATTCACAAATGTTAGCACTTTTCATGACTCTTCGTGGCTGTCATAGTAGCCAATCAGCTCGCCATATCAAGCAGTGCCATCCGCTTGTGAGCCAAATACCCAGCTTCACCTACTTGTTCGATGATATAAATGTCAAAATCAACGCCTTTTTGAGACGATGCACGTCGTTCAACGTGTTACCGGGTAGGTGAAGCTGGTCAGTCCCGTATGGTTCAATCCCTTGTAGTTGCCACAAGATGCGGTACCAGTAAGAACCTCGTCCGAGTAAGTGGCAGAGCCAATCAAAACGTCGTATTTTGAATTCTACCTAAACCTTGGAGACGTCATTCACGCCTTGGTATGAGGTGGAAGAAAATTCATTAATTGGCCAAAACAAAATTAAGGCACAGCCAATGCAAACCAGCGTGGAGTTGCTGATTTACAATTCCCTCATTAAAACAGTTCCACTGTTGTTTTGACTGTTTCAATGAGATTTATAAAGAACTTTGTATGCTCAGACCACCTCACCTCTTACTAGGGGTTAATGTGCATCTCAGTGATTAGCGATAGCTACAGTAACCACTAGCGATGCAGTTAACCCCGGAGATTTAGCATCGTATGTACTCACCGGGGGTAGGACGGAGTCCCAGGTTACGGGGCTACTGGAGAAAAGGTGTATCCGGATGTAATAATTCAGTGGAACCGTTTTAATGAGGGAATTATTCAGTTGTTGACTGAATGGGGCGGCCAGGTGTCGCCAGGGTATGTAACGTTATAGCTGATGCAGCCGCCATCGACAACATCTTACTGTAGTACCATGCACGCCCGCATCAATTTTCTCTATCACTAATCACTGCGCCAAACTACTTCGAAGTACTATTAATAGGTATTAATAGTATTTACAGTGGTCGAGACCATCCACGACCCTTTCTATTTTATAAAATTATTAATTTGTTCTTACAGTTTTCATTTTAATGAAGCATTCTTTTACACTTAAGTGTTGTATTGGATTTGACCATTTAAAATCAATGTGTAACCGTTACACCTCAAGGTTACAATATATAATGTTATGCAAGTTTTTCATGCGATATTTGAAAGGTATTTCGACCTGTACTCGAAAAGTCAAGTGAATCAAGGTATTTTAATGCCAGAATCGAATTCACTGAGGAAAACTACGTATGCCTACTGAATTTCATATATTTTTTCTTAGAATCTCAAATACAAGCACAAAATGGGTGCTCTCGACCACTGTTAGCAGCATACTAGTACAGCATGAGCGATTGTGTCGCTTCACTGCCAATTTCGTGTGGCATGTGCTGTGGAATGGTTGGCTGGTGGTGTACAGTATTGGCAAATGAAATAATTATATGAGTGTGTATGTCGCAAGTGCGAACTCGATGAAAATACTATGCCACCTCGTTCCTACCCAATTCGAGGCTTTACTCGGAACAGGCTAGTACGTATACCGACCGGTATGACGCCATGAAGAGAGTCATGAATGGTCATGAATGGTGTTCGATGAAAGGTCGGCCATAGTGCGTAAATACATATGCGAGGGTATACACAACGAAAGTACTAGCTAGTACTGTGTATAAGAAAGTACCTGTAGGGCATACTAGTAATAAGCATGACAAGTCGAATGATTTGTGGGGTAATGATGTACAGTATCACTTCAATGGTTGACATCGGCAAACTCCATTTTCCTTTTTGCTCTTCGATGACCAAAGTCCTCGTCTCCCTAAGTGCATTGGTTGCTGCTGCCACGGCCGGCTCCGTGACGGAACTCCCCGAGTCTGTGACCAAGCTCATCGACTACTCCGCCAACCCCTGCGAAGACTTTTACCAAT